TCTTCTTTCTATTGTGTGATTTCTAGTCCTTCCCGTCCTATATCAGTTTGGTATTAGAGCCCAACTTCGCTCATTCTTGATTGTCGCCGTGTTTTTGAGATTCGTCTGACATCTTGTGTTTCATCCCTTTGATAAACAAAAGGGAGTGTTATACTTAGGCCCCTCTGATTTTCCAGCTGTAAAATTCAATTTAATAAGATGGTAGTTTACTAAACTCAAACCTACCTCTCTTCTATATGACTTGTGAACCACTCATATAAATCTATTAAGGGGAGTGCTTTGACTCCCTTTGGCATAAGACTCCCCCAAAGCTGTAATATAGTTCTCGGGATTGATCTTCTCATCAGATTTTCGTTTCTCAAATTCTTTTGCTTTATTCTACAATACAACCAATACATTATTACACCACGACATGAGAATAAATCATAGATTCAGTAACACAGGGACTGAGATTTGAAATAATATTCAGATATTGAAGCACACTATAGGATGTTTAAGGTATCGTACATTGGACTGAGATTGAGTCAACATCATTCATGATATTGAACTAAAACTCAATTAATTGATATTCAGTCTGCCCAAGAAAATGTCCAATGCCAACAAATTAAGGCCACGAAGTGATTACAAATCACTGGAAATGAAGAAACTACTCACCTTGCTAGGTTGCTGAGGAAGGGGGAAGGGGGAGAAACTACTCACCTTGCTGGGTTTTGATAGATAAATCTGGGTAGAGTGCAACGACCTGTTGTGAGTTGGTGAGTGTGAGGATGGAGTTGGGTAGAAGACTGAGGAGAGTAAGATTGTAACACCCCAAAACACACCCTGGATAACATTACATTCTAAAACTATTTATATCATGAGAGCACTAATATAATCCCTTAAGAAACAAGACTTCATTTGTCATTCACGAATATTTACAACATTATCCAAAAGAATAAGTCCAAGTCATGGCTATTACATCTCAAAAATTAATTAAAGAAGCGCAGCGGAATAAACAAAAGAAGCTAGACTACACAATGTTCCAAAAGAATGTCCTAGTCTAGTACAAAAGGAAAGGAGGTCGCTCTATGCATCCACCTCGGGATCCACACTCCCGTCCCGTGGAGTCTCCCAAGTAGCGGGCTCCTCGACCCTTACATCCTCCTCCTCAAGCGGGTAATTTGAAAAATGTTAGCGATAGGGGGTGAGCACGAAACTCTGTAGAAAAATTCTCCTAAACCCATACAAGGTTTAGAAAAGCATTTAAAA